TTTACAAACCCTGTTATAGTACTGAAACGGCCTTGCTCAGAGTCCTCAATGATCTCCTTCTGATTGCTGACTCTGGACGCTCTTCAGTCTTGGTCCTACTAGATCTATCCTCGGCTGGTAGATCATAACATCCTATTAGCGAGGCTTGAACACACAGTTGGCATTGGAGGTGCCGCCCTTGATTGGTTAAGTCATACCTTTCTAATAGGTCCTTCTCGATCAATTTTGGCCCTTATTTATCCTCTGCTGCACCTGTCTCCTGCAGCGTGCCTCAAGGATCTGTCCTTGGCCCCCTGCTCTTCTCACTGTATCTGAGGCGCAATCTTTGAGAAGTATAACATTACACATCATTGTTATGCTGACGACATACAGATGTATTTCGAACTAACTGATGATCCTGCTATGTCTTTGTACGGCTTTCGCGAGTGTATGCGTGAGGTCAAAAATTGGCTCGCAGGTAATTCTCTTATTCTAAATGACAGGAAAACTGAAATTATCGTGTTTGACAGCAGAGTCCCCCGTGGCCAACTCCGTGACGCCCTCGGTTCCTTTAACAGTTTCCTCACCGACACTGTTAGTGACCTGGGTGTATTCTTGGACAGCTCTTTTAAGTTCGACAAACAAGTGTCTTCTGTTGTTAAATCTTGCTTCCATCAATTGCGTCTTATTAGCAAGGCCAGACATTATGTTCCGCATAGGGACCTTGGAAAGCTTATCCACGCCTTTGTGACATCTAGGTTGGATTATTGCAACTCACTTTACTTCGGTCTTAACTCTCCTGTCCTCCATAGACTCCAAATTGTTCAGAATGCGGCTGCTCGTCTCATTACTGGTAGTGGGCGCCATGTCTCTATTACCCCTGTCCTTGCTGACCTGCATTGGCTTCCCATTAAGTATCGCATTCAATTCAAAATCCTGCTGCTTACCTTCCGAATTATTAACAATATAGCGCCAAGCTACCTCATTGAGCTACTTAGATTATACACCCCTACTAGAGCACTAAGATCATCTTCCCAGTCACTCTTGGTACTCCCGAGATCCTGGTTAAAGACTAGAGGTGACCGCGCGTTTGCCGTGGCAGCACCTGATTTATGGAATAACCTCCTCATCGCTATACGCGAGTCTGATTCCATCCATTTCTTCAAATCGCGGTTAAAAACCACTTATTTAGCCTCGCCTTTTCTACCAGTTAACGCCTGCTTGTCAGTTAGCTTAATGCTTATTCTTATCTTTGGCTTATTCTTAATTACTTTTAATCATTTTAAAAAATTTTGACTGTTTTATCCTTTACACTTAGTTTCCTTTTATGCTTTTAGCAATTCTTTTGCTTTTGTGTTTTAATGCCATTCAGCCTGCTAGCATGTTTTGGTACCTTGCCCCATAGCCCTCATCCTTCCCTGTTACTTCATCCTACTCTCTTGCATGTTAAGCACTTTGGTACACCACTGGTTTTAAATGTGCTATATAAATAAAGTTTGTTGCTGTTGTTGTGTTTTATCCACCACCCTTTACCCATCTACATATTTAACGGGGAAGCCAAAATGCTCCCACACATGAGATTTAAGTGATGCTGGAGGTTTCTGGAGGTCCTCTGCTCCTTCAGTTGGACCGCTAGCGCTGGCCATGACTATTGCTTGAAAGACTGACCATGCGCAGATTGCGCATGAAACTTGTGCAGTGAAACTTTTATTTTCTTTTTCGAATCTTCGGATCATGTACGTACCGAACCATGGAGAGGGATCGGTTCGGATCACGGGTCAACAGTGATCTGTTGCACCACTACTCACTACTGAGCCACAATGACAGAAGAGACACGAACAAAATATAGCATAAAACAGTATTTGTCCCTCCTTTTATTTGTGTTATAGTGAATGTTATGTGAGGCCTAATGTTAACATAGAGTAAGTTTGATGGGTCTCTGTAAACATCATGTTACCAGTATGATCTAGTAAGAGTATAATGGATTGAAAGGGAATTCATTATAATAACACAGTTCAATAGTATTTCTTCACTAGTGGTTGGCAAGCCATCTCAACGAGCAATTTCCTTCAGTGACCTGAAACTGGACCTTCAGTGAAGGTCCAGTTTCAGCTCTCCCACCTTGTGTTATCAGCATTCTGAACAGAGGAGAAAAAAGGGCCAAAGAAACACACTTACACCGATTCTTTAAGTCTCCAATGTGCGGGAACCTAGCTTGCTTTAAGAGGCCAATGATATGTTATTGGCTGAGGAGAAACTCCCTCTCTTGTAGTCAGACCTTAACTGGCCCAACAACATGCAGGTGTGTGATAATGTGTCACACTCAGGTGCAGAGAGAATAGCAGAAATACTCAACTTTGGAACACAAAGCAAACCTGATGCACACGCACACATTCTCTCACACACAAGAAGAGGGAATAAGAGAGTGAAAGAGGGGAAAAGGTTTACTGCATTTATACTCCCACTTTTAAGACAGTGAAATGAAAAAGCTTTTTTGTGGGTGGCATAAACATATTTTATCTCAGTGTTGCTGTTCAGATTCATGATTCAGTTTCTTTGATGGGAACACGTGTGTTATGTGTCGCCTGAAAAAAAGTTGTTCCCATGTTCAATATATATTTAGCTTTCCTGTTGAGATATACTGTGTGTATGTATGTACTAGGGGTGCAACGATATTCGTATCGATATTGAACCGTTCGATACAGTGCTTTCGGTTCGGTACGCATATGTATCGAACAATGCAAAATTTGTAATTTATTTTATCAACTTTCCTTCTGATGATGCTGTCTGTGTTGAGCGCTCAGTGAATCTGCGTTCGACTACTCATTCAGATCTGGCGTTTGGAATTATTTTGGTTTTCATGTGACGTATGACCCTGAAGGTAAGCGAGTCATGGACTAAAGTAAAACAGTATGTTGGATGTGCCATGCAATGCTCAATTACATGGGTGGGAACTAGTGTGTTAGCGCAGTTAGCTCGTTAACGTGTTGGCCGTCTAGCCCCATGCACGGGGCGATCGGCGGTAGCTCGTTAACGGAGATTTGCCGTGTTGTGGCGTTAAGGTCATTTCAACGAGATTAACCTGAAAGCACTAGTGGGAACACAACGAATATGACTGCACATTTACGCCGACATCATCCTAGTGCAAAGACAAGTGGAAGCAGAAAAAAAACAAGCAAGCATGCTACTAACTTTAGCCGAGTCATTTAGACAGCTGTTAGCACATGATTCTCCTTATATGTTTAATATGCTGCTGAGAATATAGCCCAGAAGAAGCGGATAGTATAGCTTTTATTTTGGAAAGAGACATTTCTCTGTAATAAACTCTCTTTTCCAAAGATGAGTGATTCCTCAATCAGATACAGGGCTCGCAATATCGCTAACCCAACGTCCCGGGGCTAGCGATTTTTTCAGTCGGGCTACCAAAATCTATCTCTGCCCTGCCCATCGGGCTATTGTAGGAAGGAAAAATATATGTCAATGCTTTTGCATTCTTTCGGAAATGTAGCTGGGTAATTATGTCATTGGCATCGGTGAGCCACTGTCAATATGTGACATATTGAAATCGCGTTTGAATTTGCGCTTGTTTTTTTGCTTTCACTTTGCAATCGCGCGAACTGTGTATAGAGAGCGACAGCACTGATCTGTGAGTGATGATAATTTGCGCACCAATTCCTCTGACATCGTCTTATTAATCGTTAGCTTACTATGCAAACATGACAAGTGAAATCTCCCGCAGCTTAAACATGTGAGAGGTTGATCGCGCAGAGAATCGCTGAGCTTATGTGAGTGAGTGTGTAAAAGCAGCAGGATTTATATTTGACTACGATAACCTAGATGACTGAGAACCTTCACAGACAGATATATATTTTAGTTCTGCTGAGCCAAATAAGACAGGTCAGGGTGAAGAAGTGACAGCCAAAGAAAAGCTTACCACAAAACGGAGAAGTTATGACAAATCAGACTATAAGGCAAAAAGAAAGTGCAGCTTTATGGTTTCATGGACAAAAGAATTTCTGTGGCTGCAATATGACGAGCTAAATAACCAGGGCTGCACATAAGTGGTCCGCAGGTGCGCATTCGCTGTCAAAATAAAAAACGCGCACAAGGGTTAGGGTTAAATTTAAAAACTGTACTTTTGAGTTAAAATATATATTTATAATTTTAATAAATGACAAATTAAAAAGGCATGAACATTTTTTTTGTATCGAAAAAATATCGAACCGTGACACCAAAGTATCGAACCGAACCGAACCGTGAATTTTGTGTATCGTTGCACCCCTAGTATGTACGTATGTTTGTAAATGAAAAATTAATAAAAACAGACTTTTTGGGTTAATTTAGTGTGAGCAATGAAAAATGTCACCATCCTAAGGCAGTAATTATGGGAAAATATCATGTCACTACTGTTGTTGCTCTTTTATTGTTTTCTGCTCCAAACATCTTTACCTTATGTATTTGCCAAGTGCTAAAGTTAGACCTTTCTTAGAGCTGGTTGGGAGAAAGTTAGCTCTGTGTACAAGCAGACAAGCTTAAGGAATACAGATTCAACAGTCATTCATACGTTTAATTAGGGATTCTGTGTTGTCGTGTTTCATTTACACAGTACACACAAGGGAAGTGGACTAAACACCTGTAATTACAGACAAGCAGACACGCAGACAAGCTTAGGGAATAAGGATTCAACAGTCATTCACACCTTTAATTAGGGACTCTGTGTTGTCTTGTTTCATTTACACAGTACACACTTAATTTTTTTTTAAAAAAGAGACAGAATTATTATAACAATTATGTACATGTTTATTGTAACATTATATGCTGTTTGTCAACAAGGTCTTCTATAAGGGCAATACAGAAGTAGTAGTAGAAGAATGATCATTTGTGTCATGCTCACTTTTAACAGCCATTCAATATATCTTCATATTTTATAGAAACGTGATAATTACATGAACAAGCTCATTAACAGTGTACTGATAAAATCTGTACATAGGCAGTTCAGTCTGTGCATAGTGACAGTTGACTTACATAGTTGAAACTGTAATGAACAACATAGAGAAGATCAACTGTGGTGATATTTACTCTTATTGATATAATTCATAATATATATATAGCTGTCAGTGTAGTTTTATGTTAGTAACATCACCTTGAAATATTTTTCCAGAAATTATCATTTTAAAAGCTCTTCTAAACCAAGTGTAAAAGAAAGCATAAATAAAGGGATTGAGCATTGAGTTAGAAATTGCAAACCAGTTAAATGGTTCAAGAAGCACATAAAGTATAAAACTATCCAGAGGAACAAATGAATAACTAAGAAAAAGAGGAACCCAACAAATTAAAAATATTCCAATAACTATGGTTAATGTCTTTGTGGCCTTTCTCTCCGTACTGGAAACTGCTTTAGACTTTGTGTTCTGAGAAATTGTATTATGGATGCTGCGTGCCTGCCTCAGTGCAACAACAAGAATTTTGGTGTACATGAAAAGTAAAACTATTGTTGGGATATAATATACTACCACTGATGCGGCAATGAGAGCGAAAACGCAACTTGTGTCACATTCGTCTAAAATAAAAAACAGCAGGAAGACAAAAATTCCACACAAGATAGCAACAGCCCAACTTCCAAGGCCCATCTTCATGGCAACACAATCAGTTATTTTAGTTTTATATATCAGAGGGTGGCAAACAGCATAATATCGATCAACAGAAATACAGCACAAATTTAATAAGGAAGATACACCCATTGTTACATCCATTGTGCTTCTTAAGTTGCACAGTAAACTGTATATATACAAACATGGCTTTAGAGACACTGTCATGCTCAAAGGAAATATTAAAGCACCAATTAGTAGATCAGCCACAGCCATAGAGAGGATAAGGTAGTTTGTAGGAGTGTGGAGATATCTAAAGTAAATTATAGAAATTATCACAAGAAGATTTCCACATATTGTAAGAAGCATAAATGAGCTGAGGACAACATATAATAACACACATAATTTATTCTTTTGTGAATCGCAGAGAAGGAAGCTCACAGTATTAACAGTCACATTGAATAACTCCATGACTCCCTGTCACAGCCCTGGAACAAGTTTCAATTTTCAGCATTCAAAAAAACATTTCTTTCTCTGTTCTCATGAACAAACAAACAAACAATGCATTCTTTAGGTTGTCTACATACCTGTATGAGGAGTGTGTTAAGAGACTTTTAACATGACAGTCACATGACTGTAACATTTCTCAGCTAATTAGAATAACGAATACATTATGCACTTGTCCAATTAAAAGTGAGAAACGTATGGCCGTTGCTGACATCACAAGTAGTGATGAGTTTGCATGTGTGTTTATGCATGATTTGTATTGTCATCCCAAATTAGATGAACTGGCAATAACTATTTGTGGCCACTTCTAATAAAAACAATTTGTTTTTAAGGTGATAGTGTACAGTTGACCTTTTTCATTGTTTGTTAACACCTGAGCACTGATAGCACAACATCTGCAGACACTATAGAAAAGCATGTCCATGATGATGAGTGCTAATATTGTTGTATCATCAGCAAGCGTGTTGATCTGATCTGTGCTGAATTTGGCAGTGCAGTCATCTGTCACCACAGTAAAGAGCAGTTGACAAAGTACTCAGCCCAGAGTGCAGCCCTGCTTTGGTGATTTCTTACTGCCAACACATACTGTCTGCTGTCTTTCTGGCAATAAGTCCAAAATACAATTACAGCATGAGATAATAAAACTGAGCAGAGACAGCTTCACCATCTGCTTCAAGCTGATTTTGTTAAAGCAGGGGTAGGCAACTCCAGGCCTCGAGGGCCGGTGTCCTGCAGGCTTTAGATATCACCCTGGGTCAACACACCTGAATCAAATGATTAGTTCATTATCAGTCCTCTGGAGAACTTCAAGACATGTCAAAGAGGTCATTTAGCCATTTAAATCAGCTGTGTTGGATCAAGGACACATCTAAAACCTGTAGGATTCTGGCCCTCGAAGCCTGGAGTTCGACACCTGTGGTCTACATGCTCTTCCAGAGGGGTCCAGTGAGATCGAGGAGGGGGTAAGATTTTTAAAGTGACTGATTAACACTTAAAATCGAGCCAATTAATTATTTAAAAGAATATAGACCTCTTGTGCTGAAGGTAATTTAATCTGAAAGGAAGTGTTAAAACCAATGTTTATAACATGAATATAAATAAGAACAGTGATTATTCTGCAGAGTATTCTGCAGAGTAAATTCTGCATTATTTTAATATCATTATTCTGTCTGAAGTAAATATTTGAGAATAAAGAAATGATGACGCTCCACAGCTTTCATTCAGTTAGTCAAACCTACTCAACCTGAATATCTGAGCTCATCAGGGAACATTATCAGAAGTTCTGGGTGAGGATGGACATGATGAGCATGACCCCTACCTTCAAAGGATGCAGGATTTATGGCCTAAAGAAAAAACAGAAAGGAAGACAACAACAACTTGGGAAAGGAGTAATCATGCCTTCACAGATTTGAAAAAGGAGGCAAACATATCTCTGAAAGATCAGAGAGTTTAAAAGCTTACATGCTTATGCTTTAAGAACAAAAAAGAGGAGAAAAAAAAGAAGAGATGGGAGACTCAGAAGAAGAAATCTGTATCACTGGAAGATTCTCACTTTAAATTGGACCTTTGGAGATGTGAGATGGGATAGAGGTAAGGCAACTTTCTCTGGAGGTACTGGCCAATCACCAATAAACAATCGCTTTTGCCTTAACTGTATCTGCCCTGCGCTTTTCCCCTTTTCCAGAGGTGGGACCAAGTCATTGTTTTGCAAGTCTCAAGTAAGTCTCAAGTCTTTATCCTCAAGTCTCAAGTCAAGTCTCAAGTAATGTCAGGCAAGTCAGAGTCGAGTCTCAAGTCACTGGTGTAAAAGTCCGAGTCAAGTCACAAGTCTGAAACTTTGAATTTCAAGTCCTTTCGAGTCTTTAAAAAAAAACAAACGAAAAAATAATGTTGCAGTTATATGCTAAATGTAAATATACACAAATTGTGAAATTGCACCTCTTTAAAATGCAGCTCAATTAAACCTAGCTCCAAGAATAATTTTCACCGACAGTTCTGAGATAAGCTGCATGTTATTCTTGGATGCGGTTGTAGGACCAGCTTTAAAATCGCATGACAAAAATATCATACACATTAAAAAAAACTGTATCACCAACGTAGCCTGGACAACATTTGCTAGTTAGATGAAGTCAGCTATATCATCTTAGCATATTTATATGCATATTTATAATCATACGGTTCTTGGAGTGAGTGCACACACTCATGAAGTTTAGTAACTTCAGGTCACTGCAACAAGCCCAGGTACAGATTACCGACGGATGGGTACAGGACCTTGAAATGCACCGTGTAGAACGAAAGACCATCGTACGTATCATAAGTTTACCAGTCTCACAAATTGTCGTCATAAATACACATTCCTTAACCGTTTATTAATAGGACCTTTGAGCTCAACGGTAATTAATTAGTAGTGGAAATAATTTCTGGTACCCATCACAGAAATGTAGCAGTGACAATAATACTGTATGCTGTAATCGTACTGGGCAATTAGTGATACAAAAAACCTGTTTTATCCTGTGAATAAAAGTATATGTTTTTGTCAATGTACCATAATAACAGAAGCGAAACGCAATATTGTGTCAGGACAATTCACTATTTATGCACAATAAATAAAGGAGCATAGCGCGACAATTTCTGTTCAGCGCCAGACTTGCTTGTAACCTATATCACCAATTATGTTAAGAAAAATGACGTATTAACTACTAAAAAATCACTGACCTTCGTGTAAATGCTTGGAGCAGACTAACCTGTGAGCCGGAGTGTTCTGGGACGTTATATTTGATCTTTGAATGGCTGCAATCCAGGCCATCCGTCGCCTCTTTGTTACTTCGGAAACATGGCTTGAACAATTTCTCTTCAACGACGTAATCCGATAACAACCGATCTCTTTACCTGTCGGCTTCCCGTGGCTGTCATGCGACCGGCTATTGAAGTTAATAATACAACGGCTTCTTGACATTTTTGTGTTTCTTTTTATCGCTGTATAACTGATTTTAATTGAAAGCCTGCGTGCGCTAGTACCGCTTGCCACGAGTTCCCAGAATCCTTTGCGGTTCTACCCGTGAATGACGTCACATTTTCAATCTCTATATAATATGCCTGTTAAATTTTATATTTGGGGTAAAATATCAAGTCTTTTCAAGTAAACCGGTTCAAGTCCAATTCAAGTCCCAAGTCATTGGTGTAAAAGTCCAAGTCAAGTCACAAGTCTTAGAACATTTTTTCAAGTCAAGTCTAAAGTCATAAAATTAATGACTCGAGTCTGACTCGAGTCCAAGTCATGTGACTCGAGTCCACACCTCTGCCCTTTTCACAATGAACCCTAGGAATTTTACTGTCTCAACGTGACATAGAGGCATTTCCAAAAGACACTGGTGAACCAGAAGGACATCGGACTTATGCTCCTGGACAGACTTTGAGAAAATACGAATGTCATCAAGGTAAACAGGCACAAAATGATTAATGAAGTCATGTAGCATGTCATTGAAAAGGGGTTAGAAAACTGGGGAGACATTAGCCAAAAAAAGTATGGCAATATTCAAAGTGGTCCAGATGTGTCTAAAAGGCTGCTTTCTATTAATCACTCTCTTTAATTCTTATCAGGTGGTAGGTTTGGTGAACAGTGATGCACCCTAAAAGAGCTGAAAAGCAGAGGACAAAAAAGGCAGAGGATATTTAGTTTTAACAGTAATTTTGTTTATCCCACAGAAATCAGTGACAGAAGTGTTACTGTCTTAAGTGACAGATGATTCCAGCGGCTAGTGTACTGTACAATCAAAATTGCTCCCAACAAACATAGATGTTTACATCAGCACTGTAACTTGCACTATTTTATCAACCGATTCACACTACAACCTGGGTTTGCCTCTTATCTGTATTCAATTTTATTTAATTCTAATAACTGTACAGTACTCTGTTTTTGGTAACTATTGTCCTTGATGTAAATATGTAAAACAAAATGTGTATTTTTCTGTTCTGTGACCTGTGTACTGTTTGTTTGTATATGTGTTTTAAATTAAATGATGATTCTATTCTATTCTATTCTATTCTATTCTATTCTAGTGAATTGGTTATGTAACTATATAGATGGCTTGAGATGAATGGAGCATCTGGTAGCAGAATGATTGTGCAATCATATGGAAGCAGCAGTGGTGGTGTAAGTGAGAGGGTGAGATCTTTACTAAATACCTCAGCAAGGTCATGATATACTTCTTGTACAGTTATGAATACTAAATCTACCAGGGGAGTGGCTGACTTTAAACACTGTTGGAGACAATCGAGGTTCCACCCAGAAATACTGTTTTTCTTAAATCAATGTGAAGATTATGCAAACTGCCATTAGACAGAACAGAGGTACAGCGCTTAGGAAAGAGAGAGACAGAAAGTGGTAAGTCAATCGGCGAGGACAGAGGGATTCTGCCAATTATGAGGCACAGTAGTCTGTTTTCTGGAAATGGCATTCCAGTGACTCAAAATGGTACTGAGTAGTGTTTATGGTATAAGGCATATATATATTTATAAGGCATAACTGAGCTCCTGGACACTCTGAGGGGAAACCTGGCAGCATCAGATGGACTGAAATATAATGCATCAGAGGTATTGTATTGGTCAGCCGACTGTGGAGGGCAGTCAGTGGTGTCACTTCCTTAATCCTCCAGGAAATGCCTGCATATTCTTCCCACACAAGGCCACGAACTGCGTGCAGCATTCGATACTGTTGACCATAATATCCTATTAGAGCGATTAGAACATGCTGTAGGTATGTATCATATCTATCTAATAGACTACAATTTGTACATGTAAATGGAGAGTCCTCTTCACACACTGAGGTTAATTATGGAGTTCCACAGGGTTCAGTGCTAGGA